ATAACCACCGAGCAGGGTCAGAGGAACTGAAATGCAGAACCAAAGTAAAATGAGGACGACAAACAAAGAAAAAGGAATGGCCCCTGTACTGTGACTACCCCATAGCAGGAAGTTCAATGTGGTTAGAATGAAGAAAGCGATTCCGGGGAAGAAACAGGCAGCTTTCCATGAGACAGAAACCCAGCCCTTGTGATTGCCACAGAAGATTGTCCTCCAAAGACGAACAGCAACATAACCAGCTACAACCCCAAGAATCATATAAAAGAATAGCATGCCTGTAATCAACGTTCCACGAGAGGCTGGGGACATAAATCCGAGGGCAGCAAACATGATAGTCACAACACCCATCCCTAGGATTTGAACCCCATCTCCAACCATCACACACAAAAGTGCCGGATTGCTTGGAGCCCTGAAAACATCACTCACTACGAGTTTCCAGCCAGATAACTCCTCGTTCATTTGGGCCTGAGCCTCTTTATCGAGCTCCTCATACCTCGTCAGATCCCGCCTGACAGTTCTCAAGAAGATTACAAGCACGATTCCAGCCAAGAAAGTGATCACCATAAGGGAGTTAAGGATAGAGAACCAGTGCACCTTTGCACCTTCCATCTTCAAATAAGCATCCCATCTTGATGGCCACTTGATGTCACTTTCCACAAAGTTCACCTCATAAGTAAAAGACACAGGCTCATTTTCTTTAATAGCCATGGCGACTGTTGTAGGGTCGCACTTAATTGGAGTCGGGTACTTATTGTAAATATTCAAGTTCTTGACTGAATCAGGAGTATGCTGGACACTACAAGGAACAACCTCAAACCCAACAACTTCGTAACCTGGTGCCTCGGATCCACCATTTCCAATCGTCGAGATCACCTCAGCTGCATCCCCAGTACCCATCACCCGAGCCACATTGGTCTCCTCATACTTATGAACAAGAACAGTAAACTTCAAGTGATTAAACACATAATATGCATCTTGAACCTTAATCCCAATAGGATAACCCGTCCAACGCAAGAAATAACCGTCCTTCCTCGTATAACGAATAGCAGGCAAATTATCAAGAATCAAATTCACTTGATACATCTCATCAATCCTCTTCTTTAAAAGCTTAAACTCCTCACCAGACAAAGGTTTAGTTTGACACAAGAAAATCTCGGTCTCATTCATATACATCTTAAACCTATAAGGTGAATTCTCAATCCTATCACCCATAAGAAGCTCACCAAGATTCTCAGCACTATCTTTAACACCCTCTTGTGGTTGACAAAAAGGCAAGCTATAGTAACTATAAGGCAACTCAGTGTCAATTGAGGTCAATGAATTGACTTTAACATTCAAGAAATCACCAACCCCATATTTGTGAGGGTAACTACCAGGCAGATAAAACCCATGACCCAATTCAGATACTAAGCAGATTAACAAAACCCAAATCTTGAATTTGTCTAAAGATCTCATTTTTGGTTGTTTCTTGATCAGATCTGTAAGTAAAATGCCAAGATCAGTGGAGTTTTCAAGTGGGGTTTTACACAAGATTCAAGATTCAGTCTTTTAAACAAGAAAATTTACAGAAAAAGAAAATGACAGGGAATATTAAAGGGTTAAGATGAAAAATGTAGAGATCTAACTCACCTCCAAAAGGAATTCTGAGCAGAGATTGTGGAGCGACAGAAGAAGAAGAAGAAGAAGCGATCTGGAAGTCAAGAATTTATATGAGCAGAGATTGAGGCCCACTTGCAAAATGACTGACTTATGTCCTAATCAATAAAATGGTGATTCTAGTCATCTAGTGGTCATTTGGACATTATATTGTTTGTAAAAGAAATTAAATTATTATTCACAAAACAATATTTGCATTTACAAATTACATTTAATATTATTTTAAACTTCAACTAAGTTAAATTTATATCCAAATAGAATTTGAATTTCTAAATATTTGTTTGTAATTGCAACTTTGGAGAATTGTTTTTTTTTTTCAATTTCAGCTAAATATTAACCGTCGAAAAAGATAAATAAATCTAAATATTGTATTGACCATACACACACACACATATATATATGTGTGTGTATGTGTGTATGTCTTATTTGATGTGATAAAATTATCTAGACAGAAATAGGCACCTTTTGCTAAGGGTGGTCAATTAACCACCATTTGTCGAAATATTACGAAAAATTGTACTGTATATATAAGTAAAATATTGATGTTAGATGTATAAAATATATATTGAACACCCTTTGTCGAGAAATCTTTTTTAACTTATGTCTGAACACCCTGAAGGAGGAAAACCAAAGTAAAAAATGTGGGGAACGCCGGTGGTATAGAATGTTATATATAAGTGAGGTGGCAAAGAATTGCGATCACTAAACTGTTAAGTTTTATTTTGAAAGGTAACATTAAGAATGACCCCATTCGCTAGAAAATGAAAGTAGCACATATTGAAGATAAAATGAGAAAATACCGTTTGAGATGATTTGGTCATATTCTGCATCGACCTAGAAATGAATCGGTTTGTAGGTGTGAAAATATGGTAAATGGGGTATTAAAAAGGACGAAGTAGACCTAAAATCATATGGGAGGAAATTGTCTAAAAAAAAAAAAAAGACCTACACATCCTTAAAATCAATGCAAGCTTAACTATGCATATTGATAGAGCATGATGAAAGAGAAATATCAATATATATAACATCCACTGGTTGGATAGACTTGGTAGAGAACTTTAAATATTATTATTATTATTATTATTATTATTATTATTATTATTATTATTATGTTTCATGTTAACTTTTTTTATTTTGATTATGATGATGATATGAATAAAAAAATGAGGATTCATATTGACGACCCCAAATTGTTTAGAACTGTGGTGTTATTGTTTTTTATCTTCCACGCTCTAACTTTCTCTAATCATTCATAATTACTTATGTGTTATGAATACATTGAATGTGTATTCCTAAATATTCTTACGCTTTATTGATGATAGGCTATAATTACGTATTTTAGTCGATTATTACACTCTAATTTACTGCACTTTAATTGAGTTTGAGCTTTAATCGCTAGTGTTTTGCACTAATTGTATGTTTTATGCCTTGTAGGAGTGATTGCGAGCTATATAGATGTTATGGAATGAATTCAAGTGATTTGGAGCTTTAAAGTTTGAGTAAAAAGTTCAAGGAATTAAGCCGGGATCGTGTTTGGGGGTCAACGGATGATAGTTAGAGCAAACGAAGACTCCAGTAGGCAGATTGCGCACTGTCTAGTAAAATAGATATAACTTTTTGATCAGAACTCCATTTTGGCTCCACAATATATGGTTGGAAAGCTAACTCAAAGGGCTACAACTTTCATGTTTTACGTTTTTCCAAATTCGGAACGGAACAGGGTGAAAAATGCCCAGATGCGCGGCCGTGCTAGTTTTAGCGCGCCCAGAAACAGAAAGTCAGCCAATTAGCGCGCCCAGATGCGCGGTCAAATGCGCTGCAGCGCTAGTTAAGCCCGGGAAAAGTGTCCTTTTTCACATTGGAGAAGGTATAATTGTTTGGGCCCAACCCTACTTGGTATATATACATAGGAGAATGTTTTTGAGAGAAAATTTTTGACGAAGGAAGAGCACAGAGCCGCCGTGGAGGCCGGGTTTCATCTTTTCTTCCACCAACTTAGTCTTTTTATGTTTCTTTGTATGATTTGTTGTTTTGCTACCATGTCTATGTGGATCTAAACTTCACGTTCTAGGGTTGTGGTTCTTTCATGACTATTGTTATTCGGATATTGATTTTGATTTCTTAGTTTATCATATTGGTTTATTTAATCAATCCTGCACTTAATTATTTGATTGCTTGATCACCAATTGAATACTATCTACGAATCTAGAGTTGAACTCGAAAGTGGGAATTCTAGATTGCATATAGGATTGAGTAGAGCAAGTTCTTGAACCTGGGCCTCGGGGAACGGATTAGCAATTGGGATAGACATATACCCAATTGCCTTGCTTGGTTGATTTACAGGAATTATAAATGCGTTCTTGTTGATTCTAATTCCATAGACATATAGGCGTTAGGTTAGCTTGAATAGGCGAGTAAGGACTCGACAGATTCTTATGAGCAATATTAACCCTGTCAACCAATAAACTAGATAAATTAGTTAGTCAATTCAATTGAAGAATACAATAGGAATGTTAGATAGCCCATAACCCTAGATCGTTTTCATTATATTGATATCATAAAAATCTGCTCTTTCTCTCTGTTAAAAGTTCATTATTTGTTTTTATTTATTTTAATTAGTTTAGAATCAAATATTTCTAGGTTTTATTCGCGTCCATATAAATAGAAGATTTTATATCCTGTAACAGAAACAAATAAGTGAGATTACTTAATAACAGTCTATACACTTCTATTTCTGCTTTTCTCGTCAGTTTTAGTGGTATTATTTTCTTAAAATTATGCAGTTAGTACAAGTAAAGTTTCAAATATAATTGACTTTTGGCTTAAATATTTGGGAGACGTAAACAGGAAATAAAGGAAAAAGAGCAACTTTTCCTGCAACTAAACTTCTGCTGTGTAGATCTGAATTGCAAGTCAAAGCTAACAATATTATTTCTCCACAAAAAGGAGAACAGGCAAACAAGATTAGGTGTAAATGTGTAATAGGTTGACGAATATTAATCACTTGCCTTGAGAAGAAACGATCAGCTACCTACAATTTGAATAGAAGAAAATACGACAGACACAGGAATTGAAATAGATTGTACAGAATGCCTCTTAGATATTGCGATAGCCCGATTTTGATTGTTTATCCTTTCCTGCGCTTGTGTTGTGTTCAAGTATACCGAATAAATGAGTAAAAGTAGATAACAAAAGGGGCTATGTAGATATCTGACTAGCTACAATTTGAATAGAAGAAAATGAACTTACATGCGTTTTGTTTATCGATTTGTTGTGAAAAAGAACATATAACTTGTTGTAGAAAGTAACACACAAGTCAAATAAGGGACATATAACTCCATCAAGAACATGAAAACTTGAAACCTAATTATAATTTATTCTCCAGAAACGTAGTTAGGTACTTGTAGGTTTCAGGACAACTTACAAAGTTCAACTAATATGTCCAATAAAGTAGAACAAAGCACTAACATAATCTACATCATGATGGGAATAAACATTTTAGTAGTTGAAAGATGATTAATGTTTATCTAACTTTGGCACCTAATCCTTGTGATTTAGGGCGTCTAACGGCAACTAATGGATTGACTATGCCTTGTGAATTTTTCCCAAGTCCCGCGCCTTCAACAAACCCCATCTTTGCCATCATCTTTGATCCAAATCCCTTTGTATGCATCTCAAATCCTGCAAATCCAATAGATGATTCCTTCCTTGAGGATTTCCCACTTCTACCGACGACTTCAGCACTCCGAACAGCTGATTTGGGTAGAAATTCCTTCTTCGCTGATCCACTACTTGTTTCTGGGATTTCAGCTCCCAATCCAAGAGCTTTTGGCCGCTGGCGTGCTTCAATAGGCTCTGATATACCCTGTCCATCTTTTCCTAAACCTCTACCTTCTTGATAACCCATTTTTGCCATCATTTTCGAGCCAAAACCTGTGGTGTGCATCTCAAATGCACCGTATTCGATTGAGTTGGTCACAACCTTTGTTTCATGGAAGCTGTTGGTTGTCTCGGTTGTTTCAATAGGTTTCTCCTCAACTGTCTCGGAACACATCATCCCACTTGAAATAAAGGAGACAGGAAGAGAGGCATAGGAGCCTGTTTTCTGATCCCTTCTTTTCTTACTGCTGTCTGTACGTGCACGTGGATTTACCGAGGTTTTAAACAATTTGCTTGGGCCAGATTGTCCACCACTACCCATCGCAGACTTCTTGGCTGCATATCCATCCTTTCTCTGATTTTGTATACCGGTGACTGTGAAATCAGAATCCTCGTCACCAGCTCCTATCAACTGAACGTTCAAAAAGGAGATCCAATCGTCAGACAGAAACAGGCATCTTTTACAAATGTTCAGACCAAATGAAAGAAATGTATTATGTAAACCAAACAACTAAACTCTTCGACAGACTGGAGGCATTAAGTAACATAACCTTCTCCAAACGAAGTTTATCACTGGCAGAAGGCATAGATGTATGATGTGTCTTGGTAACTGTCACAAACCTGAAAAGTGGAACAGTGATGACTTGAATGAGTATAATTTTTTAAGATACATGTCCAAAGCCTTCAAATCAAGTGGAGGTACAAGTCTCTTTACAATTTCACATCTTCTCCTAATAAGCTTTTCCATTACTAATATTCACATCTCAAAGGTAAAAAAAGTCCTTCCATCCATAGAATAAGCTGTCAAAATCACCATAACTTTCACAACTAACTAAAAGCCAATAGAAATGAATCTATTTAAGGCCTAGAAAATAATGAAATGTTGGAATATTGCAATCCTTTTCTTCTTAATTAAGAAAGTTTGGAGTATCAGGAAATACATCAGCAATTACACACTTTGGCTTTTATACATTCTTTACACGTTAAACGAAAGTTTCCCTCCTGATCATCATTGAAAATCGGGAAAAGGTCCAAATTTACCCCTCTACTTTCGAATATTGTCTACATCTAACCTCCGTTATACTATTCGGCCAAATTTATCCCTACCGTTATACTATCCGGCCAAATTTACCCCGACCATCAGCAAACTTTTAAAAATTATTCCTCAGTCCGTCAGGTGACCCAGAATCTCCCAAATCATTTTAATAAAGTCACTTATTCTTCTTCTTGATTCACTATTTCTGAAATAGTTGGCATCTACCAGTTTTCTTAATTGGAAAAAAAATGAGAGAAAAAGGGCAGCCCGGTGCACTAAGCTCCCGCTATGCGCGGGATCCGATGAAGGACCAGACCTTAAGGGTCTATTGTACGGAGCCTTACCTAATTTAGATTCTTCAATTTACTATACTTTGTTTAGTAACCGTTGTATAATTTTAATATTTCTTTCTCTTATTTGCACAACGTATCCTACCTCTTCTTGCCAGAACCTTGAGAAACGCTTCGCAGTCGGTATATTGCTGCTAATCTCTGAACCTGTCCATGTTCAGCACCGAGTGTCAAAACAAGTGGTATATAGTACATTGAACTCATAGAAGACACTGAACTGAATGACAATTAATTCAATCCTTTTGCAAGTTATTGTTCATAGAAGTTGGTTTAGCCTTAATTATCAAAACAATGTTTCATTTTTACATAAGAAAAAGCAAGACAAGTTCAAATGAGTAATATCACTATCTAGCACATTTTTACAGCTTTTCAATACAAAGAAGCAGCACCAGAAGAATTTAGAAATTTCGTATAAGAAAATTATCTATGTTATATGACTTTTTCTAAATTATTTTCGACTATACATGAGATAATACCTACTTGAGAAAAACAGAAGCATTACCAAATTGGCACTTCATGGAAAATGTTTTCGAGATACGGTGATAAAGATGAAAAGTTACTGGATTACAAGTAGATAAGTAAAAGACATCTATTTCCTGAACATAGGTAGGAGTTAGGACAAAACACTATACCTGAGAACAATCACGTGAATGCATAGGTTGGAAAGAAAACATATCAGCTCCATCCAAAACCATCTGCTGCAGTTTCTACAATTTAAGAGTGAAAGGAAATTTCAATAAAAAGGGAAAAGAAGATTATTGCTTTTGCATAAATCTAGTCAACATCAGTTTGGTTTCTTTGATTTGATGCCCTGCATTTTAACTATGGTCTACGTCACTTGGGAGATGATGATTACAATCACAAAGCAACAAATGGGTTCCCAACCCTGTTCGATGTAAAAATATACAGAGGCCTGCGGGGGAAAAAGGCAGTGTCTTGGAGCATAACAGCAGCAGCCATAAAAGTCTGAAAATCATCTACAAAATAACCAACTCAAGGGCAAAGATGGATGCTTGTCTTTGTTCGAGAGAAACTACCACAACGACCCAGCTACAAAAGGAAATAATATGAAAGGGGATATAAAATGACTCAATGATAATCCAACTGCAACTTAATTCACACCATTATCATCTGCTCACCAAACTGTTAAATCGACTACTGAAACGGACAAAACTAGAAATAGAAAGAGGAAAACATGAAGATACCAATCTACCGAAAAAAGTTATGCCTTTATGTCAATCAGCATATAGGTGATCCTCATAGACTAATTGAGGAACGATGGTTCAAGAACTTCTCATTAAAATACCATTTAGGCAAGAGTGGTTTTCTATTCCTTATTCCTTTAGCTATTCAGGGAGGTACTTTCATTGCAAACTTTTTTCTTAGCCCGAGTCTATAATAGAAGAGAAACTGTCTTAATTTAATTAGGAACCTCCTACATTTCCCAGCCTACAAATATTTGCAGTAAAATTTGGTTATAACGCTCTGTAGTATATCTGGATTCACTTATGACCTAGTTTCAACTCACAAAGGTATTAAACAAATTTAGCAAAATAGAAAGAAATCAAACAAATAAAATTTTGTATCTAATGCAACAAAAACCTTCATGCTTTCTGCTAAGCCTTCTTATTTTCTATATTTCTGGAAACAAATTCCAGGATCATGATTTCACATGCTTTCCAGAAAAAGCTTTCACAGGTTAAACCATATCCCAATATATTCTTCCATTATGTTCGAACCAATTAAAGAATCATAAGAATTGTCAAAAAGAGGGATCTGCATAGGAGCAAAGGCAGTTAATGCAATCAAGTTGGTGGAAAGATTGAAGCCACAAAAGACTAAACATTGAGCAAAGGCAAACATTTTCAAGATCTTACTGAATTTATCTTCTGAAGATCAACACCTCGGCGGAGCATTCTCTCTCGACGCTTCAAAGCCATCATCTCCTTGCGATGTTTCTTCTTAACACCTGAAAACATAAGCTAGGGGTATATACAGTGGAGTTGAAGGCACATGGTCAATACACAAAAACAAGTGAACAGAGAAAATAATGACAACAAAAGCATGGAGTCAAAATTCCAAAGGAACATTATCCTCTTGCAATCCAAGAGAGTAATAAGATTAAGTACTTTAAAATTTAATGGCTAGGCATAAGCAAGTTTACATGTGGACAAAGCATATTGTCTCAAGTTGGTCATGGGGCAGATATCTTTACCTGGAATCCTCCCGAAATGTTTACTCTTCTGAGACTCAAACGGCCAAGACTGAGGAAATTTGGCAGCATGTTTCTTTTTCCCTGAAACTGTTCTCGGATCCTTTACAAACATAAGGCCATCCAAATCAGATCCCCGGACATGCTTGGCAGGAGTAGATTTCTGACCTCCTCGGTACTTCCTCTCTGTTTGAGGCTTCTTCTTCATTCCATACTCCCTAGAAGCTTCCTGAAGATCAATCCCACCCAATTTCTCTACGGTTTCATCAAAGCTATCATCAGAACCGCTACTAGGAACTTGTCCAACCAACTGTTTAACATCAATAACATTGCTCATGCCACCAGTGCTTTCGTAATAATCTGCGGCGACTTCTTCATCAACATCTGAATCACTATTGGATGAGCCATCACTTAAAGATGATTGGTCAGATTCTTCTGATTCTGAAGAGCAAGAACTTCCATCCTCAGATGAAATGTCTTCGTCATCACCATTGCTTTCCTCATCAGATAAATCATGAGTATATAGCCTAAGCCCCCCAATAGACAAAAATCCCTCATTTTCCACAGGAGATGATGTCTCAGCTGGCAGGTCGTCGTCCATCTCGACATCAGCACCACCAGGGAAGCCACCATCAGCATCCATATCCTCCTCAGAGGATGATGACTCGAAAGAAGGATTTTCCTTCTCATCTTTGGACGACAATCCAACTCCTTCCTGTGTTGTTTCTGCATCATCATAGAATCCCAATCCTCTGTGTGAGTTCTCATCCATTGAGAAACCAGCACTATAGTCTCCAGCATAGTCTACTTCACGAGAATCTTTATTTTGTCCAACATCTAGAGACAAAGGGGTTGTGCAATCATAAATACATCCCTCATTTTGAGGTTCCTTATTTGGGCCTTCATCTATGAAAGCAACAATCTGAGTTTCCTTCGTATCAACCAAAAGAATAGGCTGTTCTCGATCCAACTTGTCATCTTTCACTCCCTCACTACGCACCGCATCTGAACCTATCTGAAAAAAGAGAAATAGATAATTTCATCAGCAATGCAAACTACTGTAAATTTATTGTAATTTTTATTTTTACTTTATGATAAGGAAATTGACCAACGATAAACAAATATAAACAGTGGAAATGCATTCTGAATATTGTTGCAATATTGTCAGGAAAATACCCTCTAAAATGGATAAATAGCCCACAACCGAATTCCATACTGGATCAACTTGAGGAAATGCTAATCCTTAATACATACTGGGCAGATAGTTAAGCAGGAAAAAATTTATAACGCTAAAAAAAAACAGTCTTACTATCCAAATCCATCAGAAAAAATAAGCAGAAAATCCAAATTCCTAGTCCTTTTTTCTTATCATGACCAAATTTCCCGTCTTTAGCCAATAACAACAGGGATCAAGCAAATATTTGATTAAAATCCAAACTATTAAACTAGAATTGGCGTTCAGAAATAAATTATTAACTCAATAATCCTTCGAAGTTCGAAGTACAGCACCTTACCTCCAGATACTATACCTCACTAGATGTGTATAGTTCTTTTTTAACAAAATACAATACAAATCTTCCCTAAAGATTCAACCTTTAATCCTCTAACAACAAGTGATGCACAGACATACAACTTTCTCATCCTCACTATAACAAAAGCATATCTAATCAATATTCCATTTCCATGTAAGGATATCCACAGTAACCCCAGAAATATCTCTGTTATCATCATTACCCATGACCTTTAAGTTAACCATTCTTCAATAAAAACTCAATCTTTGACAATTAAAAAAACTAAAAAGGATTAGTTATATGCACTAACGGTGTAATATCTATATAAGAGAGACTATTAGGTGAGAATATGTTTTAGTCATGTTAGCGCATTTACCTCGCGTCCTATGTTTGTTTAACATCCTATGTCTTATAGGAGTTCTTTAGTCTTTCAGAAATTTAGAAAGTGCAATGAACTTCTAGTAATTTTTACTTTTATTATTACTTTGTCTTGTATATTATTGGCCTGAGATGAGTTTATATGAAGTATCATGATCAGCCAAGATTCACAAAGCCGACCCCAACCTGTTTGGAACTGAAGCTTAATTGTTGTTGTTGCACTATCGGTGTAAAGTTTCTTTACGCTATCGGGAAATTTTAACATGTGATAGCAGATTAGTTACCATCTTTAATATTTATCAAGAGGTTTAAATGTAATTACGTAACAAGTGACCTGACAGTGAAAATAGTTTTTGCACCGTTAGTGCATAATACTTAAACTTTAACCTACTCATTTCTAACTATAACACTAGCAACAGCTACACAATCATCACATTTATAAAAAAACAAAAAGAAAACAAAAGATACTGATCCTAGAATAAAAATTCAATCTTTTAGCACTATCCAAAAAATAAACATACCACTGAATCTGCAGAAGGGTATACATAACGAATCTCATTTCCTCTACTTTTCTTTGATTCGCTCTTAGAACCCGAAGCATTCTTCGAGCTACTAACAGCTGTATTATTACGATCCCTTGAATTACTTCCATTTCCACTCTTCATATTCCTCCCTAAATTCCCAAATAAATAAATCAATAAATAAATAATCTCAGTTTAAATACAAAAGTATATACATATGATTCGGAAGAAGAAGAAACCTCTTGAAGGAGGAGAATTGAAAACAGCCCAATCAGATAAGACTCCGCCTTCAACGAACAAGCCCCGACCCGAATAAGATGGGTTCCTGGGCTTTCGGTTTTTGGCTTTATTGGAACTTTTTCTGTTTTTTCCTCCCATTTTGTGTACGTCGGCGAACGCCGTGAACGGCGGAGAGAGATAGCGGAGCTCGGAGATGAGCTTTTTTGATTGTAGATTGAAGAAAAAAGAGGGTAAAAGACGGTGAAGAGGTTGGATTCAGTGTAATGAGGTGTTTGTCTTCTTGTGTGAGGTTGATCTGAAAACGCTGTACATTTTTACTTGGGATAATTGCACGTTTGGTCCCCCATTTTACCATTTATGTAGAAACTATGTCATATGTATTTAGACTATTTTAGTACTATCAATAGTATAATATAAGAAAAGGCATTAGTATTAGTTAAATACTTTAACTAGTATTAATTTATTAAATTTGTGAACTTTCACGGCCAGAAGGGTCAAATACCACATCAATTAATTAAAGGTTAAAAGTGTTTAATTATTAAGCGCTTGGATGTGATTTGATTGAAATTTGAAAAAAAATAGTATTTGAAGTTCAAATTACTAAAAGTATTTGAAAATTAATACTATATTACAAGCCCAAAATATATAAATAAATTAGTTATATTTCAGGGATAAAAAGTGCTAATTTCCCTTTTGGCTTCTTTGTGGAAAGTAAATGAGATACAAATGGTTTATTGCATGGGGTTGGAGTTGTATAAAAGCTACTTGTGGGTGTTATGTGTAAATAGAGAAAGAACCAAATATAGTGGGAAGGAATCTACTCCAAGATATGCTAACATGCTTCCGCGGTGAAGTTAGCACGTCCTGAAGCAAGTATAAAATAACGAATATTTGGAACCATAAATGAATATTTGAAGCGAAAAAAAAAAGAGAAAAGAAAAGAAAAAACATAGGAGAAATAGGGTAAATACTTGCCCACACGGCACACTCAGTGTTTGCACCAAACTAAACAGTTTGATCATCATAGTCAAATTTAAAGCGCGGATACATATACCACCAAAGGATGTGGTGCAGTGGATGGGATTGCTCCTCCCTTAACCAGAGATCTCGAGTTCGAGCCTTGAGTATGGAAAAATCCTTGGTAGGGAACGCTTTTCCCCGAAAGGGACGTGGCACGAATCCGGATATAGTCGGGCTCCAATGCGGGTGCCGGACACCGTGTGGGAAACCAAAAAAACAAAAGCGTGCATACATATCATTTAACTATAATTAAGTGAATAGTTTATATAGTAACGGATATGTGTTAGACATTTATTTATTTTGTGTAAATACTAAGTACAGGTAAGTATTTACCGAAAATAATTTTGATTACTCGTTAAAATAAACAAAAATCATGACACAAATTTAATAAATATATAGTATTTTTTTTAATACAAGTATTTTCTTAGTTTGTTCTTTTCGATATTTGAAATAATTAAACTTTAAATATTCTTTTATAAAATAAAAAATTCTCAGAGATTTTTTTCCTTAAACTTTGCGCTCAACCAAATTAAATGACTGTCACAAAAGGATGCGTACCATTGTGTTTACAGGAACATTTGAGCCATGCTTTTTTTTTTTTTTTTGACATGGTTTTAGATAGTATTTCTTTTACAATGAAATTATGATTATTGAGAACTCAAAATGTATATCCTAATTTGTGCAATTGTTGCCGTTAAACTACCTTCTTATTGTTGGGGTATATACTATTAACCATGCGTTTAGATATAGTATTTTCTGACAATTGTCATGGTTAAAAGTCTAAGTAGGAGATTGTTGGGATATATACTATTAACTATGGATTTGGTTTAGATATAGTATTTATTATGATAATTGTTCATTCAATTTTAATAAAGTTTTAATAGATCATATGTTAGTCGGTGTCCCTTGCTTATATAGAGATGATTTAGTGTATAGAGTTTAGCTTATACACGGAAGATTAAATCATCGGTTCTTATAAGTATAAAGTTTGAGTTCACATCTAATGATGGAATTGGACAAACCATCAGGAATGATTGTAGCACAAGATTAAATATAATTTATCTTGATTATGGGAATGGTTTAATTCCAACTTCTTGTGCTAGTACATTTTGTATGTATTGAACGGACCCAGTAGAGATAAGTATTTTATACTGACTTAATAAAATAAACTCTCTAGCCATTAAATGTACTTATACTCTTAATCTTGATATAATTATTATTAGCTGTGTATATTATTATTGTTTTGATTTATTAAAAGGCGAGATTCTTTCGTGGGTCAATATGCCTGGTAAATGGGATAATAATAATGTACATTGGCGAAGTAATAGTTAGTTGATGGAATCCATGTCTCGGTTTGGAGATTGATGATACACCTTTATTAAAGCTTATAAGTTTTCATGTGTAAACCCGGCCGGTGGATTTTGTATCCGACACATGAAATAAGTTAAGCGAAAGTCTAAAGAAAATAATCAATAAATTAAATCGTCAGTAATTTAATTTAATTGATTAGTATCTGAATCTTAACATGGGGAGTTAAATAATATTTAATGGATGAATTTCGAAATTGAATAAGGAGTGCAATTACGAATTTTTAGTGGAATAATTCGCAATTAATTATGGTAGATATTAATTTTGAAAATTAGAAATTAATTCCATAATTGGAGCCCTGTTAATTAAATTTTGTGGTCCCTGTTGTGCCTAAATGATAGGAAATAAAGGAATCCTTTTTCTGGTGGAAAGGAAAACCTAACAGGTTTTGGAAAAGGGTTTTAACCTTAAAACTTGTGCTATAAATACATAAGATTTTCCACCTAGAGGAGTAGTCATAGTGGCCGAAAATTTCAGCCCTTTTTCCTAGAAAATTTCGCCCACACGAAATTACTATTTTCGGGTATTATTTGGGTAACACAGTAGAAGACCGTGGAAAGTTCGGAGATCGTGATCGTGCAGTGGTGGAGAATTCATTAAGTTGCTGTGGAATTAGAGGCTCACGTGATAAACGAGTTTGGAGTTGTGGGTTTTGATGTTCTTGAACGTCAATTGCCTTATTTTTGGATATTCAATAAACATGCACCTTACATTCTTAATTCCAACTTACATATCCGCTTTCCCTTTCAGCACATATGCAGGACAATCCTATATCTGAACATGCCACGGACTGAGCTTACATTCAGTCCACTGTTCTACAGATGTCCCAGGTACTAACTTAGAAGGAACTAAATTTAGAATGGAATTTGCAGTTTCTAGGAAATATTCCAAAAAACAAATAAGGCAATCTGAATAACACGTCATTAATCTATCCATGTCCAAAAGAGACTTATCTCTTCTTTCTACCACACCACTCTATTATGGAGTTTACGGTGTAGTCAATTGAGATGTAATCCCTTATTCTGATAAGTAACAAAAGAACTCTTTAGAGAAGTGCTCGCTACTACAATCAAATTGCAGTAATTTAATATATTTCCTTGGTGCCTCTTCGTTTCAAGTCTTAAAATCTTGATTTACTTAATTCATTAAGACTTACGGTGCATCAAATAAATATATTAATATTTTGAGTAATCATTTATGAACGTCACAAAAATACTCAAAACTATCTCTCACCAGTATGCTCATTTAACCATACAAATCAGAAGGAATTCATTCTAGCTTATCACTAGCTTTTTTTCCTTTTGAAGGGAAACAACCTTTAGTCAAATTTCCTTCCAAACAGGATCTACAAGTTGGTAGTGCCTCTACTTTCAATGAACCTTAAGGTCCATCCTTGACCAACTTGAAATCCTATCTAGATTAATATGACTTAGACAAAAGTGTACAGATAAGTTTTACTCAATTTTGAAGAACATATTCTCTTATGAGGTAGACTATTATTGTTCTATTCAGGAGAGACATTAATATACAATAACAAGGTCATGCATTCATGCACCACAAGAGATAAAATGTTTGTCAAGCTCAATAACTCAAGAGTTATTCGGAAAAAAAATATCCATTTCTTATTTTGCCCAGAAATCGGAATTAAATTCCTTCTAACAAAAAGTACATATATTGCATCCTTTAAATTAATGTCTTATCACTAAAAAGAAAATTTTAACAAGTAATACGATAAATTACATAAAGTTATTGTGGAGTTGAGATAAAAATATTAAATAGATCATAATAAGTCAAAACACTGAATATTAAATTCAAACTGCATTCAATATTTATATACATACATGCATCTCGAATAATAAATTCCTATGGGAAAAGAATCATTCATGCAAAGTATATTATATAATGCAAGAATTATACAATCCAAAAATAAATAGAACCAACTCAGATGGAGAGTATACTATTATTTTCAGTCAATTGTATATAACCTTTTAGTACAAAAATTTTAAACACGCTGCACATATATGTCATGCATCTTGAATAGCAATTTCGATGGGAAAAGAACTACTCATGCAACATACATATGTAATGCCAGATTATTCAATCCAATAATTAAAACAGACCCAACTCAGATGGAGAGTATACTGTTAATTTAAGTCAAGTGAACATCAATTTTAATAGCTCTAGTTCCATTGATCCAACATGTATACTCAGATGGAGAGTAAGTACATGATATCAATTACTAGTATTTCACCTAGTGAGCTTACAATAAATTTATCCGATATGGAGGAAGACCTAAAGTCAACGCGTAAATTTATTGCTCACTTGAAATTAATAGTGGAAGACCATAGAAATATATTTCTATCACCACTTAATCATGATTGTATTTTAGTTACAAAATTGATTCAACCCTTAAACTCAGATAGAGAGCTAATACAGGTTATCAATAACTAGGAACTATATCCAGTGAGTTCATAATAAATTTATCCGATATGGAGGAAGACCTAACGTCAATGCATAAATATATTATCTCACTATAAATGAAAAATGGAGATCATAGGGGTTAATTCCTATCACCACTTTATCACAACCATGAACTTTTCTCTGAAGATTAAGTTCCATAATTAAAAAAATGCTCAAAACCCCATTTAAACAGTCTTAAAATGCTAAAATTAATATTTTTCACTGCATAGCAGTGAGTATCGTTCACTGGGCTGTTTCTGGTAAGCCTACTAAATTTCAAATCAATCGAAGATCGTTAAAATTACAATCTCCAAAAATTGCGACTAAATTTTGGAAAATTACCATTTTAAGCATTTTTAAGAATTTAAAATATGACCTACATTCTTATCATATACCAATTCATGTCAAATTAACATGTCTTATCATGTTCTAGATTAG